TCAACCTCAATTTTATATAAACATATGCCCATTTGGATTACTTCAGAATAGAAGACACTGCATTAGAGAGTCTGACCAAAAAATGGCTTTCTTTTTAAAGTTCAAACATAGTTTGTATCAACTTATATAAGAATATATGTATATACATATTAAATGTGTACAAATAATACAATGTAGGGAAGCAGAGAGAGGCTATATTTTAAAATTTACATTTTTTCTTCCATACATCATTCATATAGTCTACATTATGCTTTTACGTTTTAGCTAAGTTGTTTTCAGGGGGTGTAAATTTGCTTAAGAATCTATGAAAGTAAAAAGTGATTTGACAAGTAATTTTTTTTTTCTGGCAAAATTATATAGACATGCCAACACATACACACACAAACATACATACATACATACACATATAAACATATACAGATGGACTCAAAGTAAAATATCTATATTGATGTGTGTTTGTATACATATACAGACACAGATATATATATACACACACACATACACGTATATATATACACACATGTGCGTAATCTATATTATTTTTGTGATGTTACATCTATCAACACAGATAATTGTGGAACTATACCTATAATTTGTATTGGTATTTCCAGACACAAAAAGAACTTGTATTCCTTGTTTTAATGCTTCCTTGTTTTAATATAACTATTTATTTATGTCTTAAAAGGTATTTGTAGGTGCCTCTGGGGACAGCATCTCTGGTTGGTTTGTGGTTGGTTTATATTTTCATTTTAATCTATTGTCCACAGGCTGCTTTGTAAACCCCATAACTTGAATGTGTAGGTCATTCAGAATTTAAGATGAATTAATAGTATGGCTCTTTGGGTCATAGAAAACGCTATTAAGACAACAATCTAAACATTTAAGGGGAAGAATCTTAAAGTCATATCATAGTTTCTTTTTTTAATATATTTCAAAAAGTAACTGACTTCACAAACACCAGCTCTAACATGATTTAGACAACTGAGAAACAGGCAAGTGTATTTTAAAATACTAAAATAAAATACATTTATACAAGTACAAAGCAAAACAATGCTGATAAAAATGTTAAACTTTATGAAAAAAAATCATTTGCAATTCACATCAAAATAATTTAACATTCTCTATCGTTTTAATAGCACAAGCTGCAACAACAGAAAAAAAGACAGATATGTGCACATCATTTTAAAACCAAATCAGTTAAAGTGCAGAAAAAAGTAAGTACAAGCACTTGTAGCCCACACAAATCTTTTAGGATTGGCACCATCTCTCTAAAACATCTATATTCTATATAGATTTCTAATTACAACACCACCAGCAGCTGCCATTGAATTCTAGAAATACACACAATATACATAGTATATTTGTTCACATTGGGAAGATCAGTGAAATTCAGCAAACTATTTTATACATGCTTCGTTCTTCAACAGATAGAGCATCTGCCAGGCCTCAGACCCTCTTTAAAGTGAATTCCGACTTATCTTTATGCTTTTCACTGATCTGTATTTTTTCACAGTATAAAATTGTAAATGGTAACTATGGAGATTCTGACAGCTTGAGGGTTATTAATAAGCTGTGGCTAAATGTGAACTCAGGTAATACATTTGAAGTCTCCAAAACATGTACATTTTGCTGGGAGACTAGCACAGGAAATGTTTTTTTTCCTTAAAAAGTGTTTAATTCCTGGTTTGGAAGTCACAGAACTGCAGCAGAGCCATTATACAATTCATGGACAGTCAGAAATAGCGCCTAGTCTGCCTGATCACGTGCTGGTAACAGCAGAAACTTGGGAAAGACTGTCACCAACAAGGATTAGCACATTGGGGGGTTTCTTTTTTTCTTTGCTTCAATCAAATCTCATACCGTTTTCCTTTCCACACTCCCTTTCTGTTCCCCACCCCTACCCCAGAGAGTTGGTTCTGGTTCTTCCCAATGCAGATACAGTCTTCTCAAGCTGCCACCACTCTT